TCTATTCTATTCTATTCTATTCTATTCTATTCTATTCTATTCTATTCTATTCTATTCTATTCTATATTTATTTTATTTATTTATTTTACAAAATTTATATGCCGCCCTTCTCCCCATGGGACTCAGGGCGGCTCACAGCATGTTAAAACAATATACAAAATTACCCCTTCTAAAAACCAATTAAAATCCAAATATTAGTGGCTGTGACTATTTAAAATCATTAAAAATTATCCCTATTTAAAATTCTATTCTATTCCTTAATTCTATTCTATTCTATTCTATTCTATTCTATTTTCTATTATATTCTATTCCTTATTCTTTTCATTTCTCCATTCTATTCTATTCCTTATTCTTTTCATTTCTCTATTCTATTCTATTCTATTCTATTCTATTCTATTCTATTCTATTCTATTCTATTCTATTCTATATTCTATTCTATTCCTTAATTCTATTCTATTCTATTCTATTCTATTCTATTCTATTCTATTCTATTCTATTCTATTCTATTCCATTCCATTCCATCCCATCCCATCCTATCCTATCCTATCCTATCCTAAATAGAAATAAGAAATTAGGAGAAAGAAAAAGAGAGGGGGACAGAGAAAAAAAAGTGAGATACAAGGGGAAAAAAGAAAAACAAAAAAAGGTGTGGACTTGCGACTCTTTTTAACACAGTACACAGGATAAAAACACTCCAGCCTCAATTTTTTGCTTTTACACCTTAGGTATATAAATAATAATAATAATAATAATAATAATAATAATAATAATAATAATAATAATAATAATAACAACAACAACAACAACAACAACTAACTTTGATAGACTCATCCTCTTTAAACCTGATCAGAATCCTTTATAAAACTATCCAGCTTGAAACCATTATCACAAGTGATGGCAATAATGTCACTGGGCTGTGTGAAAAAAGTATTTTACAGAATACGGAATAACAAGAGTTGGAAGGGACCTTGGAGGTCATCTAGTCCAACCCCCTGCTCAGGCTTAGTTTTGTGTTAACTAGCCATTTCTATAACGACAAATCTTATCTAATCGACAAAACCAAAGTCAAAATGTCATTATTATTTTTTTCGTCACAAGCACTAAATCCAGGAGTGATTTCCAAGTGGAAAAAACAAAGGTATTTAAATATATTCTCCCCTTTGAATTAAAACGATCGGTTTAACCATCCCTGCTGGATCTTCTTTGCTATGGAAAGAGGGTATATTTCTATCTGCACCTCGCTGTCATCTTTGTGAGCGATCCCCGTTTTTATTAACAAGGCTCGCTGTATTCTTTCGTGAATATTGCATCAAGGCTCTCGTTACACAGGTGGCAAGTGAAAAGGTAACCATAGCACACCGGGCCATCCATAATTCAGTGCAGAACGGTGCGGTTAACGTCTCCGGCATCCTCTTTCCTTTAGCGGGTGGCTTCACGTCAGCTCTCCTGTTGTCACTGGAAGACAACTATGATATTGTTATAAGTGTGAGAATCTGGCGCTCTCTAATGACAAACTAAACCGGGATGATGTAAGCGGGTCCCGTCGATGGATAGGGCAATGTTGAAGAGGAACACCCTGGTTGAGGAGGGTAGGCCTCCGCGGAAAGTCCGATTCCGCATCGCCTCTTCCCACAGCGGAAGAATCCTGAAGGAGGTCTACACCGATGGAGAAAGTTCTGACTCCTTGGATTCGGAGTATACCAGCAGCTCGGAAACCGACCCCAACAGCCGTCTCAGTGGGTCGGATGGACAGAACAACGGACACCTCAGCTCCGAAGGGGATGAGAACGAGACGGAGACAGGGGACATGTTCTCCTTTGTGAGGGCCTCCAAAGAAAGGGGGTTTGGTACCAAACGGATCAACATCCTCAGCAAAAACGGGACGGTTAGAGGGGTCAAGCATAAAGTCAGCGCTGGCCAGGTCCTCTTTGACAACTTAGGCAAAGTCTTTGAGGTAAGTGATGGGGTTTTGCTCTTGTTTGATCCCTTTCTCTGCTTCCCTTCTCAATAGGGGACTGGAGGCTAAAACATATAAGGAACGGTTGCTGGAATTGGGGATGTCTAGTTTAATGAAGAGAAGGACGAGGGGGGACACGATAGCAGTGTTCCAATATCTCAGGGGCTGCCCCAAAGAAGAGGGAGTCAAGCTATTTTTCCAAGGCGCCTGAAGGCAGGACAAGAAGCAACTGATGGAAACAGATCAAGGAGAGAAGCAACCTAGAACTAAGGAGAAATTTTAGGACAGTGAGGACGATTAACCAGTGGAACCACCTGCCTCCAGAAGCTATGAATGCTCCAACACTGGAAGTTTTTAAGGAGAGACTGGACAGCCATTTGTCCGAAATGGTATAGGGTTTCCTGCCTGAGCAGGAACTAGACTAGATGACCTCCAAGATCCCTTCCAACTCTATTATTATTATTATTATTATTATTATTATTATTATTATTATTATTATTATTATTATTATTATTATTATTATTATTATTATTATTATTATTATTATTATTATTATTATTATTATTATTATTCAACCAATTTCACATGGGGAGAAGGATCCCATCTGTTTCTGTTAAACATTCCAATCCATTTAAAAATAAAAATAAAAATAAATAAATACTGTTTCATGTAATGGTTTCCAGACAGATCAGAGTTTTAGCCAATTCGCTTCCTAATGCTGTCCACCCAACCCAAGGAGTTATACAGGTGGTCCTTGACTTACAACGCTTCAGTTAGTGACCGCTCAAAGTCACGATGGTGCTAAAAATGCGACTTACGACCGTTTTTCGCAGGGACGACAAAGTAGACGTGGGAAAAGCGGGCTCTCTCCCATCTCCCTAGAAAGCGCTTCCACTGCACGCGCGAGGTGATTTACCTTTTCAGACTTCCCTCTTGATGAATCCTAAAGTCTGAAGTGGAGGGGAAAGTCGCCATGGCAACCTCTTCCCCTTCATCTTCCTGATGGGGGGACGCAGTTGCCATGACAACACCTTTCTACCTCCTTTGGGTGTGAACTCTAAAAGCGAGCGTGGAAAAAAAAAAGGTGACATAACAACTGCTGGGGACTTGTTCTTTGGGTTTTGTATTGCAGGATGCAGAACAAGGCTCCATCATGCTAGTCCACAGGGTGATTCAGCTGCATGTAAGGAGCAGGAATTTGAACTGCTCTCCCTCTGGAGCAGAGAGATGGATAAGGGGGCTGTGTTGGGATGTTTGAGGACTTGTCTTTCAGCTCCCAAATAAGTGAGATGGAATTAGCCAGACTTAATTTTTAAAATACAGATTTATGGAGATTCTGCCAAAGGTGATTTTTTTCAGGAGGCAACTGGACTTTCTTGTTTTTCTTTGAAGACGTTTCGCTTCTCATCCCAGAAGCTTCTTCAGCTTCGGATTGAATGGTGGGGAAGGGAAGGATTTATACTCCTTGCAGACAGCTGGTCATTTGCATCCTTTTAGAGAGTCCTTGAGGCCATTTGAAAAAAACTCCTCCTCTTCCTTCTTCTTCTTCCTCTTCTTTCTTTCCCTTTCCGTTTCCCTTATCCTTCACCTCCTCTTCCTTTTTCTTTCCTGCTCCTCCTCTTTCTCTCTCTCTGTCTCTCTGTCTCTGTCTCTGTCTCTGTCTCTCTCTCCTATCTTCTCCTTCCTTCCTTCCATCTCATCTTCCTCCTCCTTTTCCTCTTTCCCTTTCATCCTTCTCCCAAAGAAGCTTTTTCAGGAGGAAACTGGACTTTCTCATTTTTCTTTGAGGACGTTTCGCTTCTCATCCCAGAAGCTTCTTCAGCTCTGACTAGATGGTGGAGGAAGGGAAGGATTTATACTCCTTGCAGACAGCTGGTCATTTGCCTCCTTTGAGAGGGTTGTTGAGGCCACTTGGAGGTTTGTCTGTGTCCTCAGGGTCACCTGAGTGGTGCAAGCGGGTGTGGAGCCTTCTTGGAACTGCTGAAAGGGCTGTGTTGTAGACTGGAGATAGGTGATGTCGTATCCCCCCCCTCTGTTGAGGGAAGGCTGTTCAGTTTTGACCTAGATGGCCTCTTTGACCCCTCTTTCAAACCAGCGGTCCCCTCTGTCCAAAATGTGGACTTCGCTGTCTTCAAAAGAACGGCTTTTGTCTTTCACTTACGACCGTTGCGGCATCCCCACGGTCATGTGATCTAAATTCAGATGCTTGGCCCCTGGTTTCATATTTATGACGGTCGCAGTGTCCCCGGTGTGTGTGTGTGTGTGTGTGTGTGTGGGACGCGATCCTCTTTTGCGACCTTCCGACCAGCAAAGTCAAATGGGGGCAGCCAAATTCCCTTCGTAACCTTCTTACGAACTTAACAACTGCGGCGATTCGCTGAACTACGGCGGCAAAGGAGGTCGTAAAACGGAGCCAAACTTGCTTAACCAAGGTTTCACTTAGCGGCGGAAATTTTTGGGCTCCATTGTGGCCGTGGGCCGAGGACGAATTGCCTTAATAAAGCTGATGGCCGTGCAGAAGCATGCTGTGGTTTTGCTGGTGATGCTCTAGGGAAGGGAAAGATGGATTTTGAAGAAGCAGGAGAGAAAGAGTGTCGGCACTTTGGAATGTTGATGTCAACCTCTTCTCCAAAGCACCTGAAGGCAGGAGAAGAAGCCACGGATGGAAACTCATCAAGGAGAGAAGCAACCTAGAACTGAGGAGAAACTTCCTGACAGTGAGAACAATTAACCAGTGGAACAGCCTGCCTCCAGAAGTTGTGAATGCTCCAACACTGGAAGATTTTAAGAAGAGACTGGACAGCCACCTGTCTGAAATGGTACAGGGTTTCCTGCCTGAGCAGGGGACTAGATGACCTCCGAGGTGCCTTCCAACTCTGTTATTCTATTCTATTCTATTCTATTCTATTCTATTCTATTCTATTCTATTCTATTCTATTCTATTCTATTCTATTCTACCCTACCCTACCCTACCCTACCCTACCCTACCCTACTCTACTCTACTCTACTCTACTCTACTCTACTCTACTCTACTCTACTCTACTCTACTCTACTCTACTCTACTCTACTCTATTCTATTCTTTAATTCTATTCTTTAATTCTATTCTATTCTATTCTATTTTTTAATTCTATTCTTTAATTTTATTCTCTTCTATTCTATTCTACTCTACTCTACTCTACTCTATTCTTTTCTTTTCTATTCTATTCTATTCTACTCTACTCTTTTCTTTTCTATTCTTTTCTTTTCTATTCTATTCTTTAATTCTATTCTTTAATTCTATTCTATTCTATTTTTTCTATTCTATTTTTTCTATTCTATTCTATTCTATTCTATTCTATTCTATTCTATTCTACTCTACTCTACTCTACTCTACTCTACTCTACTCTACTCTACTCTACTCTACTCTACTCTACTCTACTCTACTCTATTCTATTCTTCTATAACGGTTGCTGGAATTGCGTCTGTCCAGTTTATTGAAAAGAAGGACGAGGGGGGACATGATAGCAGTCTTCCAATATCTCAGGGGTTGCCCCAAAGAAGAGGGAGTCAAGCTCTACTTCAAAGCACCTGAAGGCAGGAAAAAAGCAACGAATGGAAACTCATCCAGGAGAGAAGCAACCTAGAACTAAGGAGAAACTTCCTGACAGTGAGAAGTTGTGGATGCTCTAACACTGGAAGTTTTAAAGAATAGATTGGACAACCTTTTGTCTGGAATGGTCTAGCGTTTCCTGCCTGAGCAGGGGGTTGGACTAGAAGACCTCCAAGATCCCTTCCCGTTCTGTTATTCCGAGGTGGGTGCCAGTCTCTGTTTCTCCTTAGAAAATCCTTGGCAAATGTGTTTTGAAATCCAAGATGGCAGACTCACATAACGATGAAATATATCTGCTTTATTACACCCCTGGGGTACGTTGAAATGCACGAATAAAAACACTTCCCCCGAAGCCAAGAAAGATGTACATCAAATGGACTCTGGGGAGAAGTATATTTCCCATGCAGAAGTCTTATAATTCATCCTTTCCCCCCCCACCACCACCATGTCTCCCTCCCCTACCCCCGTTGGACTATTCCTTTGGGTTGCCAAAGAAATCAGGCAGCACAATAAAAACCATCATTAAAAAATATATCTTTTTTGGAATGCTGCCTTCTTTCAATAATTAGCATACGTCCTCATCTGAACCGGGGGCTACGAATAAAGCATCGCGGGCTAATTAAGAACCTCAGCCTTATTTAAACTCTCCCTTTTCCAGCAGCCAAGGATGCTTCTGTGAAAATGCCACGTCTGCTGGGAGGCCACAGTGATAAAAAATTAAAAAAAAATCCCCTAAATAATTCAAAAACCCCAAACGCCGCTTCCCACATTATCGAAAGGAAGTTGGGAAAAGGCTGCCTCCAGACAGTTAAAAGGACACACACACCCCCCCCCCCAGATAAGGATAAATACAGACTTGACTTATGACCACACCTGAGAAACCCGAAATTTCTGTTCCGAAGTAAGACGGTGTGTTGAGTGAATTTTTGTCCCGTTTTATGACCGTCTGGCCGCATTTGTGGAGCGGTTCGCTGCCGTCGTTCGTTGAGTAACACGGTTGCTAAGCGAATCTGGTTTCCCCTTTGATTTTGCCTCGCAAAAGGGGATCGTGCGAACCCGGGATGCTGCAGCCGTCATAAATACGAGCCGGTTTCCGAGCATCTGAGTTTTGAGCACGGGGACGGTCGTAAATCGCCTTTTCGGTGCCATTGCGACTTCAAATGGTCACTAAACCAGCGGTTGTAAGTTGAGGACTACCTGTACTGACAGGGCGAGGCAGAGACCCTTCCTCAATTTCTTTCGAGGTCCTCCCTCTACTCTTTTTAAACTTGCTTACGTGACTTGCCGTAAGTCAAGTCAACCGGGATGAAATTGAGAAGCTGTATGACAGGCTGGTCCAGTGGTGGGATTCAAACAGGTGAAGAACCAGTTCTCTGTGTGGATGCCACTTCCGGAAGTCCATTCTGGGCCTGGGCCACAAAAAATTAGCTTCCTTCTTCCTTCCTCCTCCTTCTTCCTTCTCCCCCTCTCCCTCTCCCTTCCTTCCTTCCCTCCTTCCCTCCTTCCTCCCTCCCTCCCCATTTTCCTTCCTCCCATCTTCCTTCCTCCCTCTTCCACTTCCACTTCCCCTTTCCCTTTCCATTCCCCTTCCCTCCCTCCCATCTTCCTTCCTTCCTTCTTCCTCCTCCTCCTTCCTTCTCTCCCTCTCTCTCTCCCTTCCTTCCCTCCTTCCCTCCTTCCTCCCTTCCTCCCTCCCCATCTTCCTTCCTTCCATCTTCCTTCCTCTCCCTTCCACTTCCACTTCCTCTTTCCCTTTCCATTCCCTTTCCCTTTTCTTCCCTGCCTTCCATCTTCCTTCCATCTTCCTTCTTCCTCCTCCTTCCTTCTCTCCCTCTCCTTCTCCCTTCCTTCCCTCCTTCCCTCCTCCCTCCCTTCCTCCCTCCACATCTTCCTTCCTCCCATCTTCCTTCCTTCCTCCCCTTCCCCTTCCACTTCCCCTTTCCCTTCCCTTTTCCTCCCTCCCTCCCATTTTCCTTCCTTCTTTCTCCTCCTTCCTTCTCTCCCTCTCCCTCTCCCTTCTTTCCCTCCTTCCCTCCTTCCTCCCTTCCTCCCTCCCCATCTTCCTTCCTTCCTCCCCCTTCCACTTCCCCTTCCCCTTCCCCTTTCCATTCCCCGTCCCTTTTCTTCCCTTCCTCCCATCTTCCTTCCTTCCATCTTCCTCCCTCCCCCTTCCACTTCCCCTTCCCTTTTCCTCCCTCCCTCCCATTTTCCTCCCTTCTTCCTCCTCTCCCTCTCCCTCTCACCCTCCCTCCCTCCCTCCCTCCCTTCCTTGAGGTTCTGTACCAGATTGCATGTAGCAAGATAAATTAAAGTTCTCCATCTCCATCTTAAGGTTTTGGACTTAGATAGTTCTCTTCCGGTGCATACCTGTTTGAAAAACTAAGCTTACTCTGGAACTCTTTTCTGGAGATTAGCCTGATAAGAACAGAGTGCCTGGCCTTGGAAAGAATTCAAGCTACTTCTACCCTGAATTCAGTTTAAGGTCATTCAACTTTATCTAACCTTCTTATCTTTAGTTTGATTTTAAATATAAATGACTTCTGCTCTGTTTTTCTTTCCTGTTTAATACATTTTGGTTTGCTAGGGCACCATTTCCACGTTTTCAAAGCCGCCTTCAGCGAAGGGAATATTCCGAGGTTAAAAGACAGCTTGTTGGTAATTTTATAAATTATCCCCCCCCAAAAATAGTAATAATGCAGTAGCCGCCTGCGTTTGTACCTGTTGTTTTAAGCTGTTAATGGATTTCTATTATTGAAATTGTAATTATGGTGTTCGCTGCTTTGAGAGCGCTAATTAGATTAGTAAGCAGAGCTGAAACCGAGCGACAAAGTTTCAGCATAAAGCTGTATTTCATCACACTGTGATGATGGTGTTTTTGCCTTTAGTGACACTCTTATATGCCAGGTGGCCTCTGCTTAAATTGGCACAGTGTTTGAGAATTGCGAGTGCAACAACTTGTGCACAATGTCTCTTCCCCTTCCCCTGCAGCGATTCACTTAACAACTGTGGCAGGGAAGGTCGTAAAACGGGGCAAAATTCACTTAACTGTCTGGCTTAGCAACCTAAATTGTGGTCGTCAATCAGTCAAGTCATAAAAGGCCCAAGTTTGAAGAATATATAATTGTTGAAGGAAAAAGTCTTCATCAGGGTTCAGTCCAAGCCGGGAATAAACAAATATGGAGACTGCTTTAGAAAGAAGGTTGCGGTTTATTGAAGAGGAGAGCCAGACAGAAAGATGGCTCTGGAAGAAAAAAGGGGAGAGCACATGTAGGGAGTGAGTTTTTATACCCTCTGGAGCCTTTTGTTTGGAGTTGTTTCCTGTTCCTGTTTGAGGCTTTGTATTTCCTGTGTCAGATACTTTGACCTCAGTCTGAGTGTGCCCCTTTGGCATCTGTGGGTTAATCCTATTATGTCCTGTCTTAGAGTTTGGGTGGGGTGTGTAGATTTTAGGTGCCTTTCTCTTCCTAAGCTTCTAGCTGGAGGCCGCCAACCTTCCTGAATGGATTATTTACATCTGCATTTCTACAGAGCTGGTTTCTGCTTGGGGGAGGGAGACTTGGGGCTATTAAGAAAAACTGGGCATGCTGTTCTGCCTCTTTAATATTACCTTCCCACATTATGTTTACAGTTATCCTCTGTTTTGGAAAACGGGCGCATCGTCATCTACACCACCAGCCTTCGGGTGGTGAGAACCACTTTCGAAAGATGCGAGTTAGTTCGGAAGATCTTCCAAAACCACCGAGTGAAGTTTGTAGAGAAGAACATTGCGCTGAACGGGGACTACGGGAAGGAGCTGTCTGAGAGATGCAGAAAGCTGGGAGAAATCCCGTCGGTCCCTGTCGCCTTTATCGAAGGCCAGTATCTGGGGGTAAGTGTGCGAGGGATGAACGGAGGAGGTTAGGCGAGTCTGCCTGCCCGGTTTCAATCTGAAAGCGTGAGAAATCAGGGCGACGCGGACGTGAAAAAGAGGAAGCACATTACGTTCGCAACCCTTTGTGCTGCAGCCGTCATTAAGGAATAGGTTCATTAGGCAATCTAGAGTTAAGGAGAAAGTCCCTGACAGTGAGAACAATTAACCAGTGGAACAACTTGCCTCCAGAAGTTGTGGGTGCTCCAACACTGAAAGTTTCTAAGAAGAGACTGGACAGCCATTTGCCTGAAATGGTCTAGGGTTTTCCTGCCTGGGCAGGAGGTTGGACTAGATGACCTCCAAGATCCCTTCCAACTGTTACTCTGTTATTTTGATGGAAACTAATCAAGAAGGGAACCAACCTAGAACTAAGGAGAATCTCCCTGACAGTGAGAACAATTAGCCAGTGGAACAACCTGCCTCCAGAAGCGGTGAATGCTCCAACACTGGAAGTTTTTAAGAAGAGACTGGACAGCCATTTGTCTGAAATGGTTATAGAGTTTCCTGCCTGAGCAGGGGGTTGGACTAGATGACCTCTAGAGTACCTTCCAACTATTCTATTCTGTTCTGTTCTATTATACATTCTATTCTATTCTTTCTCCTATTCAACTCTACTTTCTATTCTATTCTGTAATTCTATTCTATTCCATTCCATTCGATTCTGTAATTCTATTCTATTCTATTCTGTTCTGTTCTGTTCTGTTCTGTTCTGTTCTATTCTACATTCTATTCTATTCTTTCTCCTATTCAACTCTACTTTCTATTCTATTCTGTAATTCTATTCCATTCCATTCCATTCCATTCTGCAATTCTATTCTATTCTGTTCTGTTCTATTCTATTCTTTCTCCTATTCAACTCTACTTTCTATTCTATTCTGTAATTCTATTCCATTCCATTCTATTCTGTAATTCTATTCTATTCTGTTCTGTTCTATTCTATTCTTTCTCCTATTCAAGTCTACTTTCTATTCTATTCTGTAATTCTATTCTATTCCATTCCATTCTATTCTGTAATTCTATTCTGTTCTGTTCTATTCTATTCTTTCTCCTATTCAACTCTACTTTCTATTCTATTCTGTAATTCTATTCTATTCCATTCCATTCTATTCTGTAATTCTATTCTATTCTGTTCTGTTCTGTTCTATTCTATTCTACATTCTATTCTATTCTTTCTCCTATTCAACTCTACTTTCTATTCTATTCTATTCTATTCTATTCTATTCTATTCTATTCTATTCTATTCTATTCTATTCCGTCGTAAATATGAGTCAGTCGCCAAGCCTCTGAATTTTGATGTACAGACATAGAGGATGCTGCATCTGAAAATGAATTGCGCCCTCTGCTGGCGTAAGAATATAACGTTTTTATTTGAAGTTAAATTTGCCGGACGGTTACATAAAAAGGGACTTTGGCTGAAATTACTGAAAGAATGGAGACAGGAGGAGATGCTATGTGATGTTCACCGTAATTTTGGAGTCCCTTGGATTAGGGAAGCAAAGATATTATTCCAAGACCGTTCAGAAATAAAGCTGACCGTCCATTCCCCAAGAGGGAGACGTTTGCTGGGAAACGCAAAGAGCATCTGGGCCTGCCAGAGAAAAATCAGCTTTGTGAAATCGTGAAATCTCGTCCGACGGGTCTGCCCAGCAGGATTCGTACCGGACACACAATGAAAGCATTGTGGGTCAAGAGGGAACGCCCTGATTTGGTGTTTTGTGTGTGTGTGTGTGTGTGTGTGTGTGTGTGTTTTAAAAAAAGAGGGCGGGTTGACTTTTCACACGAAAAACAAACATCCTGGCAACAGGTTGGAGAAAAGGGATCACCGAAGACTCCGTGATGGTTTGCAGGGAAGCTGACAGTAATCAGAGTGAGATGTTTAAAGATTCCAGTTGGAAAAAATAAATACGTACAAGAAAGATAGAAAACATTGGGGAGAAGATTTGAGCTTCCTCCCTCCCCCTTCTCCCCCCTTTTCCTTCCTTCCTTCCTTCCTTCCTTCCTTCCCAACCATCTTCCTTCCTCCATCCTTCCTTCCTTCCTTCCCTCCCTCCCTCCCTCCTTCCTTCTTCCTTCTCCTTCCTTCCGTCCCTCCCTCCCTCCTTCCTTCCCAACCATCTTCCTTCCTTCCTCCCTCCTTCCCCTTCCTTTCTTCCTTCCCAACCATCTTCCTTCCTCCATCCTTCCTTCCTTCCTTCCTTCCTTCCTTCCTTCCTTCCTTCCTTCCTTCCTGCCTGCCTGCCTGCCTGCCTTCCTTCCTTCCTTCCTTCCTTCCTTCCTTCCCAACCACCTTCCTTCCTCCTTCCTTCCTTCCTTCCTTCCTTCCCAACCATCTTCCTTCCTCCTTCCTTCCATTCTTCCCCTTCCTTCCATCCTTCCTTCCCTCCCTCCCTCCCTCCCTCCTTCCTTCCTTCCCTTCCCTTCCCCCCTCCCTCCCTGTTCCTTTCAACCATCTTCCTTCCTCCCTCCTCTTCCCCTTTCCCTTCCCTTTTCCTCCTTCCTTCCATCCTCTCTCCCTCCCTCCTTCCCCGACAACCATCTTCCTTCCTCCTTCCTCAATTGTGGTCGTAAGTCAAGGACTACCTATATTAGAGCCTCCAAAATTTTAGCCCACACCTGCAAGAATAATAACATTTCAGAAGATTTTGCACGCACTTTTTCTCCTTCCTTCCTTCCTTCCTTCCTTCCTTCCTTCCTTCCTTCCTTCCTTCCTTCCTTCCTTCCTTCCTTCCTTCCTTCGTTCTTTCCTCAGTAGCCTCCATTTTATTCCCGGCTTGGAACTGGACCTGTTTTTTCTTTTAACACTACCAGTCAAGAACTTTTCTATACCCCGCAGCCCTAGAACACTTCTGATATATTCTCGCACCCCTTACAAAAGTTCAAACTAACGGCAAGAAATTATGCATATACACTGTAATTTTGAAAACCCAAGTTTTCGCACCCCCTGGAATATCATCTCGCACCCCCAGTTGGGAACCCCTGGTATAGACCAACCCATTGGGTTGCAGGAAGACCCACATTCAGCCATGCACCCAAAGGGACGGGTTTTGATTTCACAGTGGTGGCCAACATCTCATCGTACTTCAAGCTGTTTCCAGACTCCATTCTTGCTTCGTCTCCCTTTGATTTGAGAAAAAGGGGCCTTTAGAAAGAACAAAAGCTTGTTGTTTTTATATTTCTTACGTTTTTCCCATGCTGGTGTCGGCACTGATCTTTAGCAAATGCTTTTTTTGTTTTGTTTTTCTTCACCCTCGCTGTTGGAGATCAGAAAATACAGAAAAGGAAACCCATCAAAGGCAGAAAAAAGCCCTCACCTACGGCCCACTCTTCACTTTCATCCTGTGACGCCACGACTCTCCAGAAATAAACCCTGATTCCAACGTGGCTTTGGTTAGAAGAAAGGTCATCCAGTCCTGATCCAGTTGGCAATCCTGCGTGAATTGCGAGACACCCCAGCAATGCTTCAGCAATCAAATTTGACAATATGCTGACATTAGTTGAGGTCACATCAGACTTGCATAAACGCTTTCACACGGAGGGCTGACCCACTGCCAAAACGGGCTTGGATCTTGACTCCACAGCAGCAAAAAAGTTCCCTTTCCGAGTGTTAAATAGAAATGTTCATCGGATCTTCTCTGATTAGCAGAAGGAACCATGGAATTGTTTTATATCTTCTTCGGCAGATCAATTCTCTCTGTAAGATCTTTTTTGTATTTGGGACCCCATTCGATCTCTGTTATTTTAATTTTTCACAGCTGCTTCCTAAACCTTTTCATCACTTTTCCCTTTACAGTCCCAAAAGTGCTTTTTTTCAGGAGGCAACTAACTGGACTTTCTTGCTTTTCTTTGAAGACATTTCGCTTCTCATCCCAGAAGCTTCTTCAGTTCTGCCTGGATGGTGGGGGAACGGGAGGATTTATACTCCTTGCAGAAAACTAGTCATTTGCATCCTTTTAGAGAGTCGTTGAGGCCACTTGGAGGTTTGTCTGTATCCTCAGTGGTGCTTTTTCAACTGGACTTTCTTGCTTTTCTTTGAAGACCTTTCGCTTCTCATCCCAGAAGCTTCTTCAGCTCTGACTGGATGGTGAGAAAATGGAAGGATTTATACTCCCTGCAGAAAACTAGTCATTTGCATTCTTTTAGAGAGTTGTTGAGGCCACTTGGAGGTTTGTCTGTGTCCTCAGTGGTGCTTTTTCAACTGGACTTTCTTGCTTTTCTTTGAAGATGTCTCGCTTCTCATCCCAGAAGCTTCTTCAGCTCTGACTGGAGGGTGGGGAATGGAAGGATTTATACTCCTTGTAGACAGCTGGTCATTTGCATCCTTTTAAGAGAGTCGTTGAGGCCACTTAGAGGTTTATCTCTGTCCTCAGTGGTGCTTTTTCAACTGGACTTTCTTGCTTTTCTTTGAAGACATTTCACTTCTCATCCCAGAAGCTTCTTCAGCTCTGACTGGATGGTGGAGGAATGGAAGGATTTATACTCCTCGCAGAAGGCTGGTCATTTGCATCCTTTTAGAGAGTCCTTGAGGCCACTTGGAGATTTGTCTGTGTCCTCAGGGTCACCTGAGTGGCGCAAATGGTTCCTATAGTCTGCAAAAAATTTTCTGGAAATCCATTCATACTCCCACACCACTCGGAGGGTGTTCATCCCAAACTGCATGGCTAAAAATATATGGAGATTCTCAGTCATTCCAGTCATGGTTGTCCCAAAGGTGCTTTTTTCAGGAGGCAACTGGACTTTCTTATTTTTCTTTGAAGACCTTTCGCTTCTCATCCCAGAAGCTTCTTCAGCTCTGACTAGACTAAAAGCTTCTATTCCCCACCATCCAGTCAGAGCTGAAGAAGCTTCTGGGATGAGAAGCGAAAAGTCTTCAAAGAAACACAAGAAAGTCCAGTTGAAAAAGCACCACTGAGGACACAGACAAACCTCCAAGTGGCCTCAACGATTCTCTAAAAGAAGGCAAATGACCAGCTGTCTGCAAGGAGTATAAATCCTTCCCTTCCCCACCATCCAGTCAGAGCTGAAGAAGCTTCTGGGATGAGAAGCGAAACGTCTTCAGAGAAAAACCAGAAACTCCAGTTGCCTCCTGAAAAAAGCACTTTTGGGACAACCCTGACCTGGATGACGGAGAATCTCCATAGACTTTCCCCCTTTATATTTAACCAGCTCTGTGTGAATTCAGGGCTGGAGATCCTTGAACTGTAAAAACAACAACAACAAGAACAACAACAACAATATCGGTTTGGAGAAGATGGATAGATTATATTGAGAAGAAATATGGGACCAAAAAGTTCCATTTGGTTTTTGAGTGAATTTTAGAGTATTATTGTTGTTACATAGTTACACAGTTTATTTATCTTTATTTTTAATTATTAATATGATATTATTATTATTGTGTTTAATCTTAGTATATTTTATGTTAAAAAAGAGAGTTAAAGGATTTTACAGATTTGTTATTCTAATAATTGATTAATGTTAGTTAGAAAATGATTATTTTATTGTTAACCCTGTGATTAGCTCTGGGAAGTGGAGGGGGAGGGAGGGGGGAGGGGCAGGGAGGGTTTTGGAGAGGGGGGCAATTATATTGTAAAATTTTTATAAAACTTTTAATTAAAAAAAAACAACAACAAAAACCCCTCAATTTCTCTTATGCGTGTAGTAAGAATCTCTGATGCAACCGTATATGAAGAAATTAAATGTGATGAAGTGCCTTTTTACCCTATTTTTATAGGAAGGCCTATTTTGCAAGGCAAGGTCTACCTTTGGCGATGATCGTGTAGCGCCATTTAGACAAATGTTATTTGTTCGACAGGCTTGACTTGGTTCAGCTGGAAAAAAGTGTGATTTCTATCAAGGCCTTTTGCAAAAAGAAAGCTTCTCCTTTGTTAAATTCTCCAAAATAACCACCTTCCACCCTCCTCTCTCTCTCTCTCTCTCTCTGTCCTACTCACACACAGACACTCACGTATACACCTACCCTCCCAGACACCAACTAACGGATTTTGCCTCTTTCCTTCTAGGGTGCTGAGAAAATTTTGTCAATGAATGAATCGGGGGAGCTGCAGGACCTCTTA